GGGCGTTTACGGATGAAGATAAAAGATCGCAGGGTAGAAGGATATATATATATATATATATATGTATATGCAAATTTGTGTGAGCAGCAGCAGTGGGAATGGCGGAATTGGTAAGCGACAGGCCGCGGGATTGCTGAGGCAGACGAAATTTGGACGCGGCTACAACAAACAGAAGGTCGTGGGATGTAGGTTCCGGGATATTTAGGGTTGAATTCACGCGGTTGCTTTTGGGATTGAGGGACTGCCTGCGGCAGACAAGTGTAATGTTTTTATATTCGATGAGGAGAAGGGAAACATAGAAGAGAAGAGTAAGAAATAAGAAATGGTGATGATGCTTGGCAATTTCCTTTTTTTTTTTAGGATAACATCAGAAACCTCCCCCCATATTTCTCTCCATATCACCTTGCACTCTTAAAATTTTAAAAAATATCACCTGCCTCCCTTATTTTTGTTATTTATGTTTTAAAAACCCTAAAACACCCTTTTACTTGTTACATAGAAATATTTCTAAACCACTTTATTTACTTCAAAAAAATCATCACTTTAAAAACAATCTATATTAGTACTATCACATCATAATGCTATAGACCATAAAAATATAAATTTAAAAAATAAAAATATATTTACAAAGAAATACACTTACACCAATTTAGCTTAGCTGTATATGTTAAAAATTAATTTCTTATAAACTTTATATTTTTTTCCAATTTCTTTTCAACTCATGCAGTCATGTCCAAGGGAGGGTTTTGATATTATCCCTTTCCTTTTAGATATTTTTAAGTCGTTGACTAGGTTTATACTAGACTACACGGCACAGGGTCAACAGATCCCATCCCAGGCTCAACCACCCCCACCGAGTGCGTGTTTGGACGGGAGACTATTTGAAATAATTATTTTTAAAAAAGTTGTAATTTTTTTTATAACGTGACATATATAAAAAATAAAAATAAATAATTATAAAGATAAAAAAAAAATTAAAAATATCTTTACGATGGAAATAACAAATAAATTTTTTTTTGGCAAATAAAGAACTATTCAAACACATTGGGCTCCTGCAATTCAAAGTCCTTATTGGATTAGACAGGCAACTAATACCAGAGGAGCAGTATAATTTGAAGGAGCATAATAATTAAATAAAACGGTTGGTTGAGCCTTTTTTTTTTTTTGTTTTCGGGTTACAAAATGCGAAGAGAGTGGGAATATTGGAGGCGTAGTAATGGTCTCGACTCATGAGTCATTCATGCCCCACCCTAAGGCATGAAACCAAAAAAATGCCACAGCCCTTTTTGCTCGTGGAGAATACCCTTTTTGCCAACGCCCTCATCGCGTCTAATTGTGTACATACATGGCGACAATAGACATAGCTTAGGTGACGGGACTTGAAGGCGACAATAGACATAGGTTAGGTGAGGCAATAATAATAACTACCCACAGATGCAATGCAAACCCCCCTGTAGGTGTAGTATAATCAACATTCCTTTTCCTTGGTGCTGCTTTATTAGTTAACCAACTTAGCGATTTCCCCACCTCACCTGTGTGCGCAAATACTTTCCCCTTTTTCTTTTCGCTTTTAATATGCTCCTCCACGAAGAAACTGACCCAATTAAGTGCAAAAAAAAAAAAAAAAAAAGGATTTATGTTGGTAAATGTTCTCGCAAACAGTACCTAATTAGCTGAAACCAGTAAACTACCTGCCTCCATGCTTCTTAGCTTCAAGAACAGAATAATGCATATTATAAGTGCCACTTGTCAGTCCGACATGATCCCAAATATCTTGATAAGTGGATCCAGAAACGAAATTTCGATGTATTTTAGTTGATTGAATAACAAAAAAGTTTCTTTTTTTTGGAAAAAAAAAAAAAGAAAAGTGTTTTGAGGGTTTGAAATGGGCGGGGCGGCCAGTGTTGTTTCTCCAAGTGTGTGTGCCCAATCCCAAGTTCGTTCCCATCAACGCGAATTTGAGAAACCAAATAAATGGATCGACATTCTCGCCGTGTCTGAGAGTTTCTCAGGCCCAGCCCAGTAAAGTTGCGCCCTTTTGAGTTTGTGCTACGGCCTGGAGAGGCCAATTCCTTTTCTGTTCAATGTGCTTGGCGGAGGGAAGACGAATCAAATGTTATTTGTCAGAAGCGGAAATGTTTTCCAGATCTATAATCTGGATAAAATATTCAATTCTTCTCGGATTTTTCTGATCTCCAATCGTCTTAGTCTCCCACGTCCAAGCCCATAATGAAGTAGCACATGTGATAAAAATCCAGAGCCTGGCCAGGGATACCAGACCAAGGGGCCGCAGCTGACTTAACATCTGCGCAATTGGAATCGCAACTGCCATGTGGAAGTTAATGCGTGTCAGTCCAGGTAACTAAAAAAGTGGCATATCAAAAGAAAGCATGGATCTCATTGATTTTTTTTTTTTTTAAATTTATGCTACGTCTGATTGATCCTGCCATTCTTCACGAATAATACTAGCACGGTCTCATCGTTGTTCTGTAAATGGGTTTGCGTGATGAAAGGAATTAGAATCATCAATTTCTTTTATACACGAACACGACTGACTAGTCTACTACGAACAGCTATCAAGTCCATTATAAACCACAATCATTAGCACGGGATATCTAAATGGTGGAGGATTTGTTCTTCCAAGTGTCTCGCAGTCATTCAATTTCATCACCTCCCTTTCGTGTATATATATATGTATAAACCGAAATATCCTCACTAATAATATTATGATTACGAGTGTGAAAAATCGAAAAATTTTGATTTATCGACCGAAATCGAATTCAATTCGAAATTCGAAACTAAAATCGGGTTTTGGAATTTCGAATTATGCGAATTTGGTTGATAATGAAAATTTTCAAATCAGAATTCCTGTTTCGATTTCAAATTCATTTTTCATTTTTCACATATATATATAATTATATATATTTGCAATATAACGTTTATATTATAATAATAATTTTTATATTCCTGAATTTGGTGATTCAGAATTCATATTTTGATTTTAAAATCATTTTCACACATATATATAATATTTTTTTATATATATGTAATATAACATTTATATAATAATAATAATAATAATAATAATTTTGATATTCCTGAATTCGGTGAAATCAAAATTTACCGTCGGAACGAATTTGAATTCGGAGTTTGTGAATTCGAAAATTCGAAATCGAATTTGATAGAAAATTTTGATTTCAAAATTCCGAATTACGACTTTGCAATTATTAGTACATGTAGCACCAACCTATGGACACTCCTAGTTTACTTTCGCAATAATAATAATGTAGCACAAGCTGATCATAAAAGCGAATGGTGGTGCTCCCTATTAAACGTTTGTTGGGTGGAATGAATTGTGAATAAATTATTTATGCAGGAGATAAAAGGAAATGTAACACAAATAATTAGTCCATCCAAGGCATACCAACCTTAAATATAAGAAGGTCTCTTTCAATCCCACAATTATTAGAGGGTGGAGGTCGAAAAGGACCGCCACGAAAACACCATGTGACTGTGAGAGAAGAAGTGAAAGAGCCCCAATCCACCTCCCCCACCGCTCCTCAATTCATGCCATCTTATTCTTGTATTGGGATGTTATGTGGTATAGTAAATCAGTAATTACCTTAGCGGAAACTTTGTGGTGGATGAAGATGATGATTCACGATCGTTATCCACTTCAAAATTTGTCTGCTCCGCGACAAATAAATTGGGCCACCCTGATGTATTCCCTTCCTTTATGATCACATCAACTGATGAAATTTTCTGGTATACTATTAGGTCACACCAACTCTAAATTTAGTCGTTTCTGAGTCTTATTGAGTGAAAATGGAATTTGATTTTTGTCTCCTGAAGCTGCCGCCAACTTCGTGTATATATTTTCCACAAAAAAAAAAAAAAAAGGATACTTCGTGTATCTTCTAAACCGGTCACTTCAATAAAATGACCAAACCAACCTTCGTCAAAATGAAAACCACCAGAATAGACTTAAAAAAACCAGGAAGCTTAACTATGGTATGGTATCACAGACTTGACACTCGGCCAAAAAAAGCGGGTAGGATGTTGACATGTACCCCTTTCCCTGCGTGAAAGTGGAATAGAATGCGTTAAAGTTCCGCCCAGCTAACCCAAGAAAAGATTGGGGTTTCTCTTTTTTTATATATATATATATATTTCCAAATTCTTTTAATATTTCGAAATTGTTGGCTTAATCCTGCTGATGCTAAACAATTATTAATTTTCCAAACGAAATTGTTGGCCGTAACAGAATTTTCTACTCCTACGTCTGGCTATATATATATATATATATATATATATATATATATATATATATATGCCGGGAATTCCACTTCGATCAAAAGAAAACTCAACAGAGAAACAGCATCCCCCAACTAGTCAAAGCAGGATCCGTTTGGAAGATCCCAATTTCTGGCCCATCTTTTAATCTAACCAAGAAAAGGCAAGGCTGTAACATTTCTCTTGAGAGCCATCCTATACTTTAAGGAAAGTGAACCGAAAGAGTCAGCAAGCAAGCAACATTTAGTTTACTACTACTGCTGCTGCTATGCTTAGTTTTTTTTTTCCAGAGTTCATTACTTAAAATAAAAGTAGCAGTAGTTCCATAGCACATGGCCTGCTCCAACTATTCCTTGGACTAATCAGAGAGAACAGCTCAGAATCATTCATGGACCATACAAACCAATTTGACTAAACAAAATTTAAAGCCATATTTTAAGGTCCAAGATCAATCTGCAATATCCTAATAAGAATAACAATAATATATGGTTGAACGACCTCGTAGTAGTGTAGAAGAAAAAGGAGTAAACACGCAGCAAAGCTGAAAACAGAAATTAATGCTCAAAGGGGACGTTGAAAGAGAGGGATGGACGTGACAGGGCAACCTCCACTAGGCTAGCAGAGTATAACGTCATTTGACTTTTCCAAAACTCCGAACCAATTATTTCATTAAATTTAATAATCACACTTGTACAACAACAACATGTAAGTTTTAAGCACTTGTAATTTTGCTAATTGTCACAACTTCGTCGTATTTTTATTCTTCAGCAAAATATACAATTTATGATCGACCTATTATAAATATATGCTCCGTGAAAATTATATAAATTGATCAACTTTAAAAATGATTAGGAAGAGAGAAAGAGGCTTCTGATTGGAGAAAGCGAAAAATAAAAATACTGATAGTGGCACTGAGCCCTGCTGCCGCGGAGCTGAATCAGCTGGCCTGTGGTTGCGGTGGTGTCACACGCTAACACTGCAACTCTGCGACAGCTGATACTTGATTCCGGTGCCGATGACGATTCCGGTGTTCTTGTTGCCGAAAGGTATATAAGCCGGGCAGGTGACGTGAAGATGATAACGTCCGGTGGTGACGGTCCCAACTTTCCATTTGACACGGCCATTCATCTTGATCATCAGCTGGACAGCGCCGTTGGATTGGTCCTGGGTAAGTGCTAGGCCGTTGTAGGGCGCAATAGGGACGTTGTTTCCATAAATAAACGGCGACCAAACATTAACATCTTTGTGGCCCTGGTACACCGGAGGTATGGCTGTGTAGTAGGTGATCTGTTGACTGTGGTAGGTGGCGTAGACGTCGAATTTGTCGTAGTAAATTCCGATTTTACCATTTGGGTTGCGGGAATAAACGGTGACTTGGATGTTAGTGGAGAGGATGTTGGGAGCTGAGACGTTGAAGATGAAAATGGTGGCGTCTTGGAGGATGAAGCGCGGTTTCTTTGGTTGTAGGACGGCCCAGACTATGAGGATGACCAAAAGGATGATGAAGGCGAGTATAAGAAGTCCGGCACATAGCCGCTGGAGCATCTTCTTTCTCTTCTCCTTGTGGTGGCTGCACTGCTTCTCCGACATGGTTTCTCCGGGAACCGGCGGGGATGATGTCTGGGGAAGTGTGAAGTGTTGATTTTTTTTTTTTTTTGGGTCTACAAGGGAGTGAGTGAAAAGTTGTACTAGCCTACTACTAGGAGAGGGGTGGTTCTGTGGACGGTGAGTTGTCGATCTTTATAGACTTGAGGCCCTTTTTATTTTTAGGCCTTTCCTTTCCTTTTTCTTTTTTGTGTGATTTAGACTGAGACGTTCCACAAACGCCTAATTCATTTTTATGGTGTCCTTGCTCGGAAGTCGAAAAAACGCACCCTATCATCACTACTTAAAAAAACTAGAGTACTACTACTATGGAATTTCAAGGAAAACTTTTAAGTGGACTGATTTATGGTCTGTGTGATTGATATATTAACAGTCAATCATAATGCGACTAATAATATATAATGATGTTAAAAGGGAAAAAAAAAATGCCGGCAAGTGGTATATAATAATGCAAGTTATCGAATAACAAAAAAACGGAGTGTAAATAATATTTTTCAAAATAAAAATTCAAAACTTAATTACATGCAGCGGCCCCGGTGCTCTACAACTACTTTTAAGTGAAGTTCTTTGTTTTTTTTTCAACAAACTTTAACCTTTAACCTTTCTGTGAAGTTCTCATTTAAGCAAAACTTTAACCTTTCATTCGTGCTTAAGGTCACGATCCTCTTAATTATTTGCAAGTAATTACTGCATGCGAGAAGTTTTATTGCGGGATGTATCCAAGTCGTCGGAAAGAGGAAAAGGACAAAAAAGCACACGCTTATACATACCTCACATGAAGAGAAAGAATTTCAAATAGATAATACTACTATTATACAAATTTTTTTAATATATTATGGCAAAAAAAAAAACAGAGAAAGAAAAATGTTCTAGGTTTGGTACACAAGCATAAATTTGGGACAAAATTAAAATAGGACATTTCACATTTGGGGGAAAAAGAAAAGTCGTTGGTATAGAGTACTGTGGAATTGCAGATTAGGTTATTGTGTTCTGTACGTTCAAATCTGTCAGGATCGAGGGCTTATCATTGCACTAAAAGCTATAGCTATTAGCGAAGGCGCAACTTTATTTCCTTAACCACAATAGCAGCGCAAAACACCGGCCAGCATGAGGGGCTGCATCCCTGGGTGCCACGGGCTGGACGGTTAGTCCCTTTGAGCCGGGATCTGAGGAATGTTGCTGGTTAGGCCAATAAAATCCAATACTCCATATATCGACCTAAAGAGTAACAAATGTATTAAGAGTCCTAGTAGTCGTTAGGTGGATGCGGAGAACTTTGAAATACAACGTTAAAAGGACTCAATTTCAATGGCCGTTGTTGACCTCGAAAAGAGAAGTACTGTTAAATTAAAAGCGGAGAAAGAGTGACCTGTCCCGAGAAATTTGCCAAATAGTAATACTACTTAAATTAAATCTCAGTAGTAATACACATTATTGCTTCTTATATCCAATTAATGAATATAATGCGTAACAGCTCCGTTTCGATTGGCTTATTTTTTAAAAATATATTTTTCAAATATAATGTTGCAGTAATATAAAAACAACTCAAAAAACATCTTATCTATAAAATATATCAAATATTTCAAAAAAAAATCTATAGTAATATTTTTCATGCATATATATACTGCTACAGTAAAACTTATTGATATATGCATGCATGTTCCCTCTTAGACACGTTAGCACATTTCACAATCACAACCCGGAAAAAGAAAAAGAAGAAAAAAAAGAGTGACGAAATCCTTCTCAATATCCCCTCATGCGTCACCAACCGACGGCCCATGTAATGGTTTCTTTTTCGCATTAACTAGAATCCTACACTTTGTTTATCCCTCTCTACGACATTTTGTTACTAGTTTATCGCTTGCATATTTGTTTTAGAAAGAAAGAAAAAAAAGTATGTACTTGGAAAAACAATGCAAAAGTTAAAATGCATTCAATGGTGATGCAAGTGTGTTCTAATAACAAATTTAAGTTTGTTTGGATTGTAAATTATTTGAGATATTTTTACTGTAGCACTTTTTTTGTGATGTGATGTATATGAGATAAAAAGGTAATTGAAAAGATAAAAAGCTGTATTGAAAATTGTAATGGTGATGTAAGTAAATATATTTAAAAAAATAACCCACTATCCAAACAAATAATTTTCTAATTATTTTTGTTGTATTGCAATCTATTCAATTGTTGGTCCCTTCTAAGAAAAATTTTTTTTGTGAGATTAGCACTTGATCCATGCACGAGTTGGGTCATGCATAGATTTTACCCCGGACAACAATAATGTCTAGCGCTTGTGTGGCTGTGTATGATTGGGAGTTGGATTAGGTTTGGCCGAGTGGGTTGATTATTGAAACGTGCAGGTTAGACCGATTAGGGGGAGTGGGCTCACTTTATCGCGACAGTTGGGACGCTCCCGGCGGCCAGCTCAGCAAACCACCGACGCCTGCCAGCGCTTCTGTTTCTTCTTTAGTGTGGAAAGCCCCCAAAGTCAAATCAAGGGAAGAGGAGGATCAGGTAAAATATACTCCACCATGCACGTACCGTCTAAATTCTGAGGTGAGCAACACACGCACGCGAAAGCAGATTATAAAAAAGAACAGCCAAGCCAAGACATGGCTGAATAAGGTGCTTTGTTGGCTCAATAATCAGAATGAATGATTAATGCACTAATAATTCATCCGACCAAATTCCCGAATAACTGCTTGATAGAATTACTACTACTTGATCCTTGACTAATAAAATACTGCTAAATAAGGATCCAACCATCTTATTATTTGGATTACGTTTAATGCGGTACAATTTTATTTTGATATTTTCTCTGGCCAAAGACCAAAGAATTACTAATAGACTTGACAATTTGTAATCCTTTCAAGCATTTTGTGATGAATGCTCCACTAAATAAAGGGGGAAATCATTATTATGTCAATTGATGGATAACGATGAAAGGGTTTGTCAATTTGTGAACTGTGATAACGAAAGAACTCAAACGGAAAGGAGGACGGAAAAAGAAGCATCCGAAAGATGAAAAATTGGAAGGAAGATGAGTAGCTTTCTAACTAACACCCCCACCCCCATCCCCCAAAAAAAACTTATTCAGTGGCTTTCAATGGCTTATATATATATATATATATATATATATATATTACCTACCGTATGGTATTAATATTTGATTTTGGTGATGATCTATCGTACCTACCGCTGTTCTACTAAGACAGACAGCAATTGTGCTAGGTCCATCTCTCTCTGAACCACTCAAATGCCACCCGATGAAACCAACAGTACATAATTTTGTTCTTCACATTTAAGAATAGCCGCCTGTACTATAGTCCAGGGTCTACCAAAGACTTTAACTTCAAATTGAAGTGCTTCGCCTAATGTTTTGGAAATTCTTCACGCCCTCACATGTAGAACACTGTTTCCGTCCAAACGACTTCCTCTGCCTCTCTCTCTCTCGGTTTTATATTTATGGTCCAAAGTAGAGCCACGTTTTGGACAATTTGATCATCCTGTGGAGTGTGAACATGGAAATTCATGAGAAATCAGAAGGTGGAGGAAATTTTTGCAAGCCTGACACCATTAAAGGAGAGGGAAAGGTTGTTGAAGACGTCTGCAGCATTTGCGAAATCGTGACACTTACTATTTGTATTCGAACGGAATCCAAAGCAATGGGTTTTGCTCAGAGTCCGGGAAGAGCAGGAGGAAATGCTCACCAATAATTCCACCCCACCAAACAAAAGGGGAGAAGAGAGAAAAAAAAAATGGGGCCGGGGGGGGGGGGAATCCGCTGGAAGAATCCATCTGTATTCTGTATGTGACCACAGGCATGTGCTGGCCTTTTACCCCCAGATTCCTGTACTCTCTGTACAGAGATCCCAAAAAGGTCTTGCTACTTTCTCCGCACTGACAATAATGCTGATTCTTGGCACCCCCGCCCCGCCGGCGGTTACCGGTTCTGACAGGGTCCCTACACCATCTTTCTTGGGATTCGAGTCCCGTTAAACCCCTGAGCTATTCTAGAGTGCACAAAATTCTCTCTCTCTCTTTCTGTTTTTCCGCAATCTATCTAAAGTACGTACTACAACATTTTTTACCCCCTTCCCCTACGGTAGGGTGTGCTGCTGGCCATAGTTGAGATTAGGGTTGGTGGAGTAAAGGAATCTGGTGGGGGCCTTGAAATGCCATCCTTTCTAGGCTAGCATTGTTGTTTTTCTCGAGAGAAACCTTTTTATCCTCTTCTTCTTCTTTTCTCTCTGAGCATGTGGCTCGTTAGAACTGGATGTTTGTGCTTCGTAGAAGAGACAAAATGGGAAAAGTCAAGGAATGAAGTGGGTGGCGTGGTCTAGACACTACTGATGGGAAACTAGTCGTCCAATGGCAGAGAATCAAGTTGGACTGTGGACCCCCCAGTTTTTTTTGGTTTTTGAGAGCCAAAAATTATTATTAATGCCATCTAACTTGTACCTTTGGACCCATACTCCAGTCTCAAGATCTAAATGGAACATATAATCCTCAGAACTGAAGAAGATTAAACCAATTTATTCATATAGTTTTCGAACTCATGGGTGGTCCTGACAAGCTTTTGGGCCAACAGCTGAAAATCTCTCTATATCTGAAAACCAAACCTTGTAGCTTAAAAATTTTTTAGTTCCAGATCTGACCCCATTTCATACATACAGACTATACTGTTCTTCAGGGACACGTACAAGGAATTTGTCGACCGCATCCCCTTAAAACTTGGCTTGACACTTTTGTTTATTTATTGCTTTCCATCTTTGCATATCAAACCGGGCATTAATCTGCTTTTTTTACATACTTATGGATAAATCTTTTATGCACTGCGACTATACACCAAATGCAAAGTTTGATACTTTAAATTCAAATTGAAATTATACAACATTCATTTAATCCCATAAATGTATATATTGACTCAGTAAAAAAGATTAATTCTTTCTTTCTTTTTTAGGTCACTCATTCCATCTTTACAGATGAAACAGGGCAGGCTTTGTAAGGAATTGTCATGTTCCTAGTCCATTTACAGAGGGCAGTCCCAAAATTGTACTAGTCTAAGCCTTGATCAAATGAGACCTTGAAGTCCGGGCCTGACTCTCGAGCCTTTTAACCCAAAACGGATCGGC